CACCACCTCTTTGTGCCACACTGCGTATCTGCACCTCTCCACCCATCTTCACGACTCCACCCCCCTACCAGCCTGGATGACTGTGTCTTCTTTAAATCCTTGGTTGTCAGACTTCCATACAGCTCGATTTTCTGATGGTTCTGGGTGTTATTTGTTTTGTGATTGAGTTGTAATTCTTTCTATGGTTGAGCGAGGAGGTGAAGTGTGTCTACCTATACCTCCATCTTGACCCAAAGTAGGAAGAGAAATTTTGATTAACAACAGTCAGCCTCGTTATATGCTCTGGGTAACGGGGGATGGAGAGAAGAGAGAGGGGCAGGTTACAACAGGGTGCAGACTTCAGTGCTGTAACAAATTAAAAGGATCTAAATTTGGAATACTTCCCTTTTCTTTTTTATATTATTACCATATAGTGACTAAAAACCATAAAAAATGTTTTAAGTTCCTGTTCCCGTTCTGTTGGTTCTCTTGGTAATTTGCCTGTAATGAATGTAGTTACTCTTTCTAAGTTCTTTGGAGAGTTGATGATGAGGTTCTGGAGACCATGGACAGAGGCTTCCTTCATGGACTGAAACCTCTTCCAGCTCTGAGCAGCAGGAGCACCTATAAGCGATTGAGCTGTGCCCATCAGAAGCCCATTCTGAACTCATTTCCATTTTTCCATGTTGACATGAAGTCTCCTACCCCCACATTCCATACCCATTTTTCTGCATAATGAAGATGTTTATCGTCCAAGTTTGATAGGTGGCAGGAAGAGCTCTGTATTTGGGGCAGCAAGGGGATACAAAATGCAGAGGGATAGAATCCGTGTGCCCACTTAGTTTTTCTGCTGTGGAATTCAGCAGGGACCCTGCCTGAGACGGGAGGGAGATGATGCAAAGGTTTCTGGACTTGGGTCCAAGAAGCTGAGGCCAGACAAATTTAGACTTCTCTGGTGAACTCAGGTGTGTGGGCTTCTGATTCCTCACCCATGGAATTGTGGGGCTGCCCTGACTGGTGTGGCTCAATTGGTTAGGTGTCATCCTGCAAAGCAAAAGGTTGCAGGTTCAATTCCTGGTCAGGGCACGTGCCCAGGTTGCGGGTTCTGTCCCTGGGTGGGGTGCGTCCAAGAGGCAGCTGATTGATGTTTCTCTCTCACGTTGATGTTTCTCTCCATTCCTCTTTCCCTGCCATCCTTTCTCTTTAAAAAACCCCAAAAGTGTGGGGCTGGCACCTTGTAACTTGCTCCATTCCCATATCCGATGGAGGGTCCCAGTGTCGGGTCTCTGGGATCAGAAGGCTGTAAACACATCAGAATTTGGGATGTCATCCATGTGAGGAGGATTTTCTTAATCACGAGTCTTCCTTTTCTTTAAGGGTTTGTAATCTGGGGCATCTGCTCTCATTGAATGTGGACCTTGGAACTGCAGGTATTGAGATCTTGTCGTTATAATGTTTGTGTATCTGAAAGGTCATAACCATCACAGTATTTGTCCATGACTTCTGTGGTTTTGGTTTCTTCCCTTTAAATATGCACATGTCCTTGTTTAAAATGAAAGTATCCAGAAAGGATTTCAAGGGCATAAAGGGGAGATCCTTGAACTTGTGGGATGAACACTCCCTTTGGGTCTGCAGCACTCACTGTCTTTTTCTTGGGCAATGAGAACCTGTGGCTGGAAATTAACCATGACCCTTTCAGACTCCGTGCCATAGGGACCTCCAGCTGTGGCGGGAATCCCGCTGTTGAGGGAGCTGCCTAACTCTCGAAAGGTTCTTCAGACCTGCCCTGCCCAGACGGGCCTCAGCTGGTATCTTTGTGGCCCTAAAGCTCTGGAATAATGACGAGATTTGATACGTAGGTAATGATGTCTCAAAGGGCTGTTGAGCACATCAGTAAAACTGTTGGACCTGCCCCAAGTAGCAAGAAGCTGCACTTTGTGAAATGGTATTTTGGAAAACTGATGATACAGATGAACGCCACTGAGACCAGATCTAGATTTGGTGTAGGTGCCATCATAGGATGTCCCCTACTGTCTGTAAAGCTGGAGCTGCTGAGAAGGGGCTGCCTGGGCTGTCACGTCACTGACTTGGTTGGCACTTCTGAAGTCATCCTGCAAGTGGCAGTTTTAATGTGGTCAGTCATCGTTCTCATGCTGAGAACCAGGTGACAGCGCAGGAGTTCACGGTCCTCCCTGCTGGTGCCGCGAACTTCAGGGAAGCCGTGGGCAGTGGAGCTGAGTTTTTACCACAACCTTGAAGTCTGGTATTAAGAAGAAAGAGAGCAAACACTGCTACCGAGAGGGGAATGAAGAGGGCTTTGGTCCTAACATTCTAGAAAATAAAGAAGCCCCAGAGTGCAGTTGGGGAAGCCTGCTACACAAACAAGGTTGTAATTGGCACAGGTGTGGGCTGCCTCTGAGTTCTTCATTGGGAAGACAGACCTGGACTTTGAGTCTCCTGATGGTTTTAGCTGATGACCCTGACCATCCGGTGGCCCTGACCATCCAGTGGCCCTGTACACGTCCTCCATCAAGACTGGTAGTCTGTCAAAACCCGCTTTGGGCAGGATAGTCAAGAAGGTCCAGGCAGTAGGGAATGATCTCAGTGACCAACCTGAAAGCGAATGGCTGAGACTGTGGATGAAGAATCATGCATCTGCCTCCTAGTCAGAGGGAAGCAGATTGGCTTTTTGACCTAGTCTGTTCCAGAGTGCAAGCTGCTCAAGACCATGGGAGGGAGGGACATCAGGGGTTGGTTCCCTTCACTCTGGGGAGACTGAAGATGCTTTCCTTGCCAACCTGGTGGCAGGGATCTTCATGGGACTGGTCAGGGTAGGTGGGCCTTGGCAATCAGAAGTGGACCAAGGATCTCCCGCTCCTCAGAACTGGAGGAGCTAGCAGCAAGGCCCAGTGTGTCAGCAAGAAGTTCAGCAATTCTCTAGCCGAGTAAAGTCTGAGCCAGAAAGCCCCTGAGCCCTTCCCGCTCTCTCCAGCTAATTAGACCCCTGCCTCAGACAGCCTGAGACAGCTGACGGTCGCTGCAGCGCCCTCAGGTGGTTACCTCCCCTCCCCTATACCTGTGGTTTTTAACTGCTTCATAAAATTATTACATCAGAGTCAACTCTGACCGCTTGGAACTCTCTTTTAGAAACCCTAGCTTTGAAATCATTGTGTAACTTCAAGGATAATCATTTTAAGCCAGAATAATCTGTGGAGCCAGCTATACCTGTGGTGCAGTTCCTGAGGTTTTGATAGATAAGAACTCCAAGGGTTTAATACAGAAGATTAAAAAAATCCAGACACACACACGCGCGCACGCGCGTCCTGGGCCCCCCACCCTGCCCGCCCCAAACCCCAACCCCAAAAGACTCACAGAGGCTCAGAACAGCACATCTGGTTTTACTTATTTTAAAAATACTACAAAGTCATCCTTCTTGACGTCTTGGTTTTGAATCTTGCAAAGACTCTGGCATTGACTCGCTGTGGGACATCCTAGTCATGATGAAGGGTGAGTCCCTCTGCGTGGTAGTGTGTCTGCCAGTAGTGTGGCTTCTGACAGCAGTCAAGGGACACCTGACCCATCCGAGGCTTTCTGGCAAAGTGTTACAGAGGGGAGAGGAAGGTCAGCGTCCAGACCCCTCCAGCCGTCACGAGGATTGTCCAGCGCAGCAGTGGCCAGCATCCAGCCAACGGGAGGAGGTGACCTTAGTTTTCACATCTGTCTGTGAGAGGTGTTCAGAAGGAATCCTCGGTTTGCTTTTCCATTTAAAAATTTCATTACCAGAAAATGATCAATATTTCCCGTCACCATATATGAAAACAAAGTATGTTATTCCATTCTAAAGTTACTGGCCCGTACCTGTGGTGCCCCCATTAGGCTGGGTCACCCTGATGCCCTCCCCTCCTCAGTTCATCTTAGGAAAAGAAATTTTTTCTTATCCATGTGGCTTTATTGTTCAAACAGCGATAAAAATAAAAAAGAAAAATAATCATTTTAGTTCCTCTACCCTAATACCTCAGCTGTCTTCATTTTAAAAAGTTTTTCTTTTGAATCCTAATACACATAGTTATATTTTCTGATTTTTTTTCTTAATATGTTTTGAAATTGCTATTGAGCCTTCATAATCATTGGCTATACCATCCTCTACTGAGGTGATAAACCCTATTTTTCTTATGGTTTAGGGATTTAGGTTTACAAATGTATAAGATTATACTATTTTAAATAACACTGCCGTACATATATTATAGAGTTTTCCTTTCTTTTGGTTATTTTCTTCTGATTAAATTTCTGGAAGGGGGACCTGTAGGTTAAAGGATACAATATATATTGCGACATTGTTCTCTCAGTGGTTGTGCAAGGTCAGTGCCTTCAGAATAGACAGATGAGTGAACAGTTCACAAGTTAACTCCTGATTGCCCGAGTGATGACTGACTTGGACACCTATATCTTTCAAAAAATTTTAAGTATACAACTTATGATCATTTCAGTCACTCTCTCCTGCTAATCATGTAGACAATTAGGCACATTTTTTTTTAGGAGCATTTTGACCATTAAAATAGCCATGAAACCGCCCCCGGCCAGGTGGTTCAGTTGGTTGGAGCTTCGGAAGGTTTTGGGTTCAGTTCCCTGTCAGGGCACTATCTAGGTTGCAGGTTTGAACTGTGGTTAAGATGCATACAGGAGGCAGCAGATGGATGTCTCTCTCCCCCACACCCCCTCTAACTCTCCCTCCCTTTCTAAAATCAGTGGAAGGAAAAGATATCCTGGGTTGATGATTAAAACTAAACAGCCATGAAACCAAACATCTTTTATTATATATTTACGGTTTACAAAATGTTTTCATGTTCTCAATATTTGGTGAGGTATTTGGGATATGGATTATCATTTCTCCGTTTTCAGACATTGAAAATGGAATGTAGAGGTTTCAAGGTCAACCAGATATGGTGATGGTTCTACACCCTGAGGTGTTCTGGAGATACATTCTGACCACCTCCTGCTCTCTTCCTCTATTTTTTGTCTAGAACTTCGGCAGTCTGCGGTCGGTCGCCTCCCGGTGCGACTTGAGGGCAAACCTGGTCAAAAACGGCTGTGGAGATGAGTTCGAGAGCCCGGCCAGCGTCACTGAGGTGCTGCGGAGCCTGCCTCTCAGCAGCAAGGGCTCCGGCTCTGCAGGCTCAGACGTCATTCAGATGACGCCGCAGGAGGTCGCGGTGAGCCTGCGGCCTGGTGAGTGCCCTTGAGATGGGACATGTGAATAATGGGGAAGTGAGCCAGGGCAGGCTGGGGGCAGGGGCACGGCGGCAAGGGGGCGTGGGGGGGGTGTGGGGAAGTCCTAGGCCCCAGGAAGCAACATTCAGGGCCCCCGTGGAAGGACAGGATAGGTTTGCTATTTTTATGATTGTGGTAAAATGTATTGAACATAAAATTTATCATTGTTAACCATTTTTACTGTATAGTTCAGTGGCATTAAGTTCATTGATGATGTTTTAAAACCATCATCCCAGTCCCTTTGCACAGCTTTTTGCATCTTCTCAAACTGAAACTCTGTAGCCATTAAATAATGACTACTCATTCCCTCCCTACCCCAGCCTCCGTTCCACTATCTGTCTCCATGAGTTTGACTGCTCTAGGGACGTCAGATAAGTGGATTGATACAGTGTTTGACCTTGTGTGCCTGGCCTGTTTCACTCAGCATAATGTTTTCAAGGCTCATCCATGCTGTAGGATATGTCAGAATTTTCTTCCTTTTTAAGGCTGGGTTATGTTCCATTGTATGTCTATACTGCATTTTGTTTAATCCATTCATCTGACAGTGGACACTTGGGTTGTTCCCACCTTTTAGCTATTGTGAATAATGTTATTGTTTTTTATGGGAGGATATAGTGAATGCAAGTTTCTCAGAGACAGTGCAGCTTCTGGGAAAAAGAACTTTTTCTTGTCAGCAGATTCCATTTAAGTCAGTGACATTCTGAAGGGACAAACTTTTAGAGAAGAAATATTTTGTTTTATGACCCTGGAGCCTCTGCAGGCCCTAGAGTTGATTGCAATATAAGGAAACAAACAAATTTGCACACCTACTATGCTAAATACTTGACCTACCCTAAGGTAGCTGATACTGCTTTATACAGGAGAGAGTAACCTGCTCAAGTGCTCCCGATAGAAGTGGTGAATCTGATCCAATCCCAGGTCTTTGTGACTGCAGATCTCATAATTATTTCTTGTTCACTACTTTTGTTATCCGATAGTCTACATATTAGAATCCTTGGATGTCAAAAGATGGATGTGCATGTAGCTAAATTAAGAAGTATTACATTGTTGAGAGAAGGAATTTTTCCAAATTCCATTAATTGTAGTGTTTTTTTCCCCTATCCTATCGTCTGGGAAACCGTTGGCAGTCACTGCTTCTAGTTGGCTTGCTTAGATTTCCTGGGAACTTGGCACAGCGAGAAGATGTGGATCTGGCTGGCCGTCCTGGGGTCTAACTCTGTCCCTAGCTCCGAGGCCCTGGGCGGGTGCCTTAGCATCGCAGCGTCTTTCTCACCTTCATTCCTCACAGCTGTGTTCAGAGGCCTAAATGAGGATTTTTTGTATAAATGCACTTTAAAAAAGGTAAAATAATTATTTTCAAAGAGTAATGGCCAGAGATGTAGATTCTAGAATCAACCAGATACAGATTCGAATAGGGCTTCTTAGTGTCTCGGAAGTGGAGTGGGCGCAGCCCCGCCCCGCGGAAGCACGCTACAGCGCTGCTTGGTTTTGGGGGAAAGAGCTCTGAGTCATCATGTATTTGAGAAATGTTTTATTTGCCTACTGAATTGTCTTAGAGATACGAAATACAAGGATGCACGTGGCCCTGCTGGAGAGAGGCACGAGGGACTGACGGCCCAGCGGGTGGTGCTGGGATTAGCTGAAGTGGCTGCCTGTGTAAGTTGTCTCCCTGTAAGCGACACTTAGCCTTTGTGTTTGGTGAGAGAGGGAAGGCAGCCCTTACAAAGCTGTGTGAGTGGGGAGGAAAGTCAGCTGCACCTCTGTGTGGACACACGCTTGGTGATGTCCTGTACGGGAAAAGAACTCATCCCCTTACGTGCAGACAGGCTCAGGGTCCAGGGCTGTGATCCAGAAGGGATGTAGGAGTTGGGGTAGACTTTTGAGATACTGGAACATGGTGCAGGGTAAGATGGTTATCAACTGCAGTGAATGATACATTTTCCTTTTTATTGTAATAATAGTATAACAGTAACTTAAAAGAAATTTTTAAAAGATGAACACTATTATTTTCCATTTTTACTAGACCCTTTGTCTTTATTCACATGTTCATATTTTTCATCTACTTACAAGGTATCTATAATTGTATATAGTTTTCACTCAATAATCTTTGAAAACAAGGACCAAAATTCATTCCTCCGAAAGAGTCTGGTTTCGGGCCCCCCGGAAGGAGGCTTTTGTTTCTGTGGGGCATCTCACCCAGGGTGGCTCGCAGGGCCCCCGGTGCGCGCTGAGAAACACCCTTCGCGGTGGCACATTCTCAGTCTTTCAGGGTAGATTTAGTTTAGGAAAGAGCTGGAGGTCACACAAAGACAGAGATTTCACAGTTTTAATTCCAGTTTTACAAATAAGAATTAAGCTATGACCGCAAGGTGTAGAAACTGTTGTTTGGTTTGACTTTTGGACTGGTGTTGGAAACGGCCCCCAAAGAGGAGCTAAGGAAGTGATGAGAGTGAGGGCAACCCCCTGGGGCAAAGTTCTCTTGATATTAAATTTATGCACAATACTTAGTTATGTGGAAAGCTCAGTGTATGCTCCATTAAAGAAAAAAGAAATTTGTCTTCCTTGGAGTAGTCACATCTCCTGCTAAGTATTATGATGCAGTCCCTGGTATCATAAATAAAATGGAAAACGTGACCCTGCATTTATACAAAATTGTGTTGGCGGTGCTGTGTGCAGCTCCAGTCCTGCGCAGACTGGAGCACTGGTGAGCCCCCTGCGGGGAGGTCAAGGGAACAGAGGGAGGGCTGGTTGCGCCGTGCAGACACCCTGAGTGTGAGGACGTGTCAGTCTGTAGAGATGAAGACCAGGAGCAGATCTGATGAAAATATGAATTCTCAAAGGTCAAGAACCTTGAGGCTCTGTTTTGCAAATATAGAAACACTTGAAGCCAGTGATGTCTCTTAACATTTTGAAAATGTTAATATTTAAAGAGAAGTACAGGCAAACCCCCGGGTATTTATTTATTTGGGAGGAGGAGAAAATGGTATGTTGCAGTTTATCAAGTGCATACTTACCTCAAAGTAATGACCCCTGACCTTGGTGAAGGTGTCCCCTGTGCGGTGATTGGGTTTTTCCATTATGCATGTTTAGAGTTGCTTTTGTCTCTCCTCCCTTGCCCTGCTCCCCTGGCCTCTTCATAATAGATGTTTGTTGAGTGAAATGTAACACTTCGCCAGCCTTCGGTCAGACTAGCCAAAGACAAGCGTCAGCACAATGAGAGAGATTTCACCAAGGCAAAATTATTGTTTGAGGATGAGGCTGGGGAAGGAGAGCGAAGGAGTATTTCCCTCTACTTTAAGCAGGATTTTTTGTTTTGTTTTTCTTTTTTAATTGAGATAGCGTTCATGTACCATAAAATTCACGCTTTTTCAGGGCACGGTTCAGTGGCATGTAGTATGTTTGCAGAGCTGCACAGCGTCAGCACCGCTGACTCCAAGGGCATCTCCATCCCTCCAGAAGGAAGCCCTGCCTGCTCACGGCCACTGCTGCGTCGTTCTCCTCTCTCCGCCCGGTCCCCGCCGCCCTGGGTCTCGCGCCGCCACCAATCTGTGTGCTAGCTGTGATTTACTTATTTTGGACATTTCATATAAGTCGCATAAGATGTGGCCTCTTATGTCTGGCTTCTCTCACTTCACAAAACATTTTCAACATTCACCCATGTTATAGCACATAATGGGACTTCCTTTTTATGGCCAAATAATATTCCACTGTGTATAAATAGATGTGCCACATGTTAGTTGAAGAATATTTGGGATGTTTCTCCTTTGGGACAATTATGACTAGTGTTGCTGTGGACATATATGTACAAGTTTTTGTGTTAACATATGTTTTCAATAATCTTGGGTATATAGCTAGGAGTAGTATTGCTGGGTCATGTGGTTATTTTGTGTTTAACTTTTTGAGGCACTGCCAAACTTTAAGTAGGACTTTGTGTAAACACAGGATCATACTTTCCATTTTGTTTTCCATCCTGCAAATGTCAGGATAACAATCTTAAGAAAGCCTTAACAAGGGACATAAAATCCTTAAGAAAAGACATAAACTTTCGATAAAGTTTATTGAAATGGTAAAAAGCTAGAGGTGGACCAATTACAAAGGGTTTACTTCAGCCATTATTTGCCTTACTTCCTTAGCCTCTCGAACAAATGACCCTTGATTGGGTCATTTAATACTCTTTATTTTGAAATAATTTTAAATTCATAAGTTGCAAAAATAGTAGGGAGTTCCTATATACCCTTCTCAGCTTTTCCCAGTGATAAGATAGTACATAACCAGAGCATGTGTTCAAAGCCAGGGAAGCCACACTGGTATCATGCTATTTACTGAACTGCAGGCGATGGCCTGCTTCTTCAGGAGTTTCCTGCCAGCGCCTCCCCGTGCTGCTCTGTAGGTGCCAGTTACCTGACTGAGGAGGTGTAGCGTCCGCCACCCAGACTCACAGTGCACACACGTAAACAGACGATGTCGGGAGGATCAGAGGTTTGCTGCACACTGTCTGTGTCCCCGCAAAATTCCTCAGGTGAAATCCTAACCCCCCATCCCATGGCATTAGGAGGTCGGGCCTTTGAGAGGTGACTAGGTCTGGAGGATAGAGCCCTAAGAATGAGGTTAGTGCTGTAATAAAAAAAACAAAACCCCAAGGGACCCTTTCCACCATGTGGGGACATAGCAAGAAGTGGACAGCCGTAACCGGACAAGTGCTCTCACCAGAACTCAGTCATGCTGGCACGGACGTTCAGCCTTCCTACCTGTGAGGACTAAACTTTTGTTATTTATAAGCCACCCAATTGGTGTCACTTGTTACAGCAGCCCAAACTGTCCCAGACAGGGTTATTTTCAAGGAAACTAGGACGCTGAACCCAGATGCTTGGGGGCAGACACTGCGGAGGCCAGCCATGGCTGCATCTGTCCAGAGTCCGTATGCGGAGGTGGAGCGCGGGGTGTAGGGCAGCACAGCAGGCTTGTTCTAGGCCGGGAGGCGGCCCTTCGGTCCAGGGCCTGGGTTTGATTCTGGGATGCTGTCACCGTCCGCTGCCGTGAACGGAAGAGCTGCAGTGTGCACTAGAGCCCTAATTCCCTGCTCAGCCACAGTCCCATTGTAATACAGCTGTATGTTATGTTTCCATTCTTTCTTTCAGTGTTAGTGACTCTGGGGCATTAAAAACTGTTTGCATTTATTTGAGGATGGCAAGAGTTTTTATTTATTGAGGTACTACTTTGCCTTAACATTTAAAAAAATAATCTTAAAAAAAATAAAAGTTCTTGCTGGATGGCTCTACCTTCACTTTGCAGAGATGTTTGTCATCACATACATGTCCCCTAGGAAGAAACTTTTCTCTTTTTATTGAGGGGAGGGCAGAGAAAAGAAAGCTTTAAAAAAAAAAAATCCATTTCAGGTGGAATGCGCGTTGATACCTGATTATGGTAGGGGAACCTCCAGGTGAGAACCGAGCAGTGTCAGGAATTCTGTGCAAAATACAGTTTGAGGTGGGTGCTCGGGAAACAGGAAAACCAGAAGGACACGAGAGGGGCCACTTGCAGGAGTAGTTTCATCCTAACAGGTGCAAGGTGATCAGCTTCTCTTTTCATTTTGCTTTATCCTATTTCTCTGATCCTATTGCTGGCCCCAAGGCGGGAATTTTGTGGAATGTCCCCAGAGAGAAGGGGTGCAGCTGCACAGGGCGATGAGCCCGAAGGGTCTTGTATGGAGAGGAGAGAGGAGGAGGTTATGTGGGCAGGGAGGGTGTCACTAGAGACAGGCACAGACCCAGCACCCGCAGTGAAAGCGAGGCGGCCTCTGCACCCACCAGACACAGGGGAGGTGGTGACTGCTTTAAAGCCTCAGGTGGTGCTGGACTGGGGGCCGTATGTGTGTTGGAGTGTGGGCACGTGTGCATGGGCTCCGGACATATGCCCTGAGATCGTGAATGTGCTTCAGACCTTTTCTCAGCAGAGAGGGCACCTGCGTACAGCAATGGCTTCCCCATCAGCTTGCTGACCTTGGCGGCCACCCTTGCTGGGGAGTTGGTGCATTGCAGCTTAACTCCCACACTGAGCATGGTCCAGGAATGTTGCTCCCTGTAAAATCTGCTGACAGGACATTCCATTACTGCCAAGGCCCATTGGGGATTTTGTAGTGTTTGAAGTAAGGCTTGGTTGAGGGTAGTAATAGACCCTCATTCTGAACATCAGTGCTATTACTCCTGTTCTGGAAAACTGGAGAAATATTTCTTTTAACATTTTGCAGCCTCTTTGTCATGTGGGTGCATATCTTTTCTTAGTGATCAATTTCTCTTGGAATTGATTTCTCACTTCAGAATAGATACCCTCAGCATACAGAGAAACAATATATCATATCTTGTTTCTCTTTGCTTTCATGTCTGGAAAATTTGGAGTTAAATTTAATGCAGAAGTCTGTAGCCTTTCACACTCAAGATTCTGGCAGGATTTTCTGTCTCTTTTCATCCACACAGGAAATTGCTTTAATAATTGATTTTGGAGGAACGGAGGCCAAAGTTTTCCTTGTGTGGAAGCATTTGTATGATGTTTATATACATTGCCTCTTTTAATTGCTGCAATAATTAACATCCTGCCATTTTACTAATCCATAAACTGAGCCACAAGTTTAAAGAAGCCCGAGGTCTCTGAGTCCTTGGTGACAAGGTCTGGATTCCAGCCTAGCTCCGCCTCTCCCAGGCTGGTGTCCCCATTCCCTCCCCTGGGTGGGCTCCCTGAGTCCAAACCAGTTCCCTTTTCCTGATCCGAAAGTGCTCATCTTGTTAATTACTCATAATCCACAGAAAGGTGGGAGTGGATTCTGAATTTAAAAAAGGTGTAGCTAGGATCTTGGCGGGGAAGGGCACAGGTGACAGAAAATGCAGAAGACCCTGAAAAAGGCCATAGGATTGGCCAGAGGGAACACGATCACAGGCTCTGGCCATTTGGGGTCTGCGGTCTGTCCACGGTAAGGCTGAGCAGGGTCTCCCCTCCCACCTCCCTTCCTCCCCTACTGGGATGTGGCTGCCTTGGCTGGGAGGAGCCCTGCTCTGTCTGCCTGACAGGAACCAGAGACAGACATTGCAGCAGTTCCAAACTCATTCTGGAAGAGATCTCCAACACTCTTCCATTTGAGTCAGGCTCTGATGGTTTTTTAAAAATAGGCTTATACCAGCAGGCAACCCGAACTACAGTACATCAGCCTTCAGGCGCCTAGAACAGTACACGCAGAGACAAAGCAGAGGAAGCAGGCGCGGTGCTGTCATTCCGGCTGCAGGTAGTAATTCTCATACTCATACTTCATGTCTGCAGGCTTTGGCTGCTGACAGAACGCTTCCCTCCCACGAGAGTGCTTCAAACCTTAATCAGTGGTGTGTTGTTATTTTTACATTTTTATTTAAGGAAATTGAGGCTCAGGTTACACCCCTAAACAAGGGATGGAGCTGGAACTTGGACTATAGTCTTTTGATCATTTTATTCTTTATGGTCTAGTTCATGAAGGGTGTCTTGTCTGGGGTGGGAGCTGGAGGCGAAAGCTTGGTTTCTCTGAGACGTGATACTGGCACATCAGGCGTGGCCCCTTGGGCCGGTGTGGTCACCTTCACTATCGCACCTCTGAATACATAGAATACCTCCAGATGTCAAAGGTGTGTGAGCAGGTCTTCTACCAAGAAAGTTCTAGAACGTCTCTTGTTGCCTCTGAAGGGCTAATAAGCCCAAGGGCAGATACAATTACTTGGTATGATTTGCCTCTTGAACAAATATGTTTTTAGGGATCATAAGTGATTTAGGTCCTTTATCCTGGTGTGAGTCCTCCAGGCATTGAGCTGACTTGGGCCTTTCTGCGCATCCTGGGGGTGAGATTGCAGAAGCCGTGCCTCCCAGATGCTGGCTTTTCTCTGTTCATTCTTCTGAATTAATTCCCCTTTCCTCTGTCTCTTGACTATCTTATCGTAAACCAAAAATTATTTTCTTTTTCTTGTAGCTGGTGGACAAATCTGGTCGTGTTTTTTCTTGCTTTCTTTTTTCCCCTTTTCATGGGGCTAAAATTTGAACTCTGTCTTCCTGTATTTACACATACAATTTCTGAGGATAATGATTTGTCTTTGCTGTTCCAAAACATCAGCTATCTAAGAACTAAACGCTATCAGTAGTCTGCCGTGATGAAAGAACTGCTTGAGCTAAAGCCGACCCTAGAATTAAATACTGCTGTTTGGTAACTAGCTAGAGGCATATAAATAGGTGATGTGGCACAAGCATGGGGGCTATTTTAAGCACTATGTCCCCACCCTCTACTGCCTTGCAGTCTCTCTCTTTTCTGTCACATGCACCTTTAGAGTCTCCTTCTGGCCACATTCCCACCGTGGCTGGTCCTTTCCCTGAAGCTGGTATATGGTTGATGGGCTGCTCTCGCTCAGTTTGTGTCCATGGAACTGTCTGGTTCACTGTCCACCAATGACCCAAGTGCCATTTTTGCTGAGAAAACAGAACACCACCGAGGAGACTGGTTGTTAAAGAGTTTCCTTAAAAATGCTGAGCCGGGTGTTTGAGCAGAGAACCCAGAGCTTCATCCTTGGCACTCACATTCCCTTCTGTCACTCTGCTTCCAAGAAAAAAATATTTCTTCAGAGGCGCACAGTCTCTAGAGAAAAGTATGTGGTAGACCAGCTTTGAAAATGAAATCCATCCCTTCAGCCCCCGCAAGTTGGATGGCCTGTAATGTGCGTGCCCTCTCTTTTGGCACAGGTGACAAGACTACGTTCCAGCTGCAGGTTCGACAGGTGGAGGACTATCCTGTGGACTTGTACTACCTGATGGACCTCTCCCTGTCCATGAAGGATGACTTGGACAACATCCGCAGTCTGGGCACCAAGCTCGCTGAGGAGATGAGGAAGCTCACCAGCAACTTCCGGTTGGGGTTTGGCTCTTTTGTAGACAAGAACATTCCTCCTTTCTCCTACACAGCACCAAGGTACCAGACCAATCCATGCATTGGGTAAGTGATCAGCTTTCCTTCCGTTGGATCTTTAAGGATGGGGGAATGGCGTAGCGGGAGAACTTAGCCCAGGGAAAGGACTGGGGAGGGAGAAAATATTTGACACATTATTAGAGAACAGGAGTTTCTAACTGCTGCAACAAACAAATCCAAAAGCATATAATGGCTCAAACTTGATGGAAGTTTATTCCTGCTCACCGAAGTGCAAATGGGTCTCTGGATCAGTGGACACCTCTCCTCCAAGCAAGTCTCAGGGACCCAGATTCCACCATCTTTCATATGTGCCACATGTGGCTGGCTTCAAGGTCATAAGGTCTGGAGGGTTGCTCATAGGAGGATCTTATGGGCCAGGACTGAGTGGCTTTGCCTCTTCTGCTCCTGAATTCTCGTCTAAAGAACTGTGTTCTAGCAAGGAGGCTGGAAACTGGTTTAGCTGTGCCCAGGACGATGAGGAAGCAGGACTAGTGCACAGGTCTCTGCCGTGGTGTATGTGCGTGTAGGATGGAGGATCACATCCTCCAACTGCCCTAGCACAACCTATGTGAGGTTGGTTTGTTTTTCACAGCCTTTCACGTATTTCTTTAATGACAAGATTATGCACTGTGACTACAATGAGTGGTAACTCCCCATTTCTTCTTACCTCATCTCCACATTTAGCTTTATTTAGTTAGATTTTGGGAAGTCACTGAAGAAGGAATAGCTAAGATTTAAGTTCTTACCAAGTGTCAAGCACCATATTAAATACTTTCCATGGGTTATTTTATTTAACCTCATAATCTTTTGAGGTCTTTAAGGTAGTCGTGTGCCGTATTTTAAAGATGAGGAAACTGAGGCTTAGAGAGAATAGCTTACCCAAGATTACACAAATAGTAAGGGGTAGACTTGGGATTTGAATCAAGACAAACAACTTCCAGCCCTGGCCAGGTGGCTCAGTTGGTTGGAGCGTTGTCCCCATACACCAAAAGTTTGCTGGTTCAATTCCCAGTCAGGGCACATGCCAAGGTTGGGGGTTTGATCTCCAGTCAGGGCGTGTATGGGAGTCAGCCAATCAATATTTCTCTATCACATTGATGTTTCTTTTCTTTCTCTTTCTCTCCCTCTCTCCCCCCTCCCCCCCTTCTCTCTGTCTCTCTCTCATCAATAAACATATCCTTGGGTAAGGATTAAAAAAAAGACGAAGAACTCCCAGAATCTGCATGTCCATTACTATGATGCTTATTTTTTCCCCATCCAAGTCGCACTACACCACGCAGATTGTATCTGCATCTACTGTAAGTAAACATGCCCATTCCAAAACTACCACAGCCCACTAGTTGCTTGTCTAGCTACAGTCAGGTTAGGCTGTGCTTCAGGAACAAACAAGCCGCAGATCTCAGTGGCTAAACACAGTGAGAATTTATTTCTTGTTTGTACAAAATCCAGTGAGGGTTGAACTGTTCCCTACTGCAGCTCTCATGTAAGTGGTGACTTATCCAGGCTCGCTCCTCCTTGTGAGGTGCTTTTTGACCCCTGATCTCTTTGGCTGTCCCTCCGCCGAGAGAGCTGCATAAGCCCCTGAGCCTGCCTAGCACCCCCATTCATCTTTGGCAGCCTCAACAGCGCCCAGCTCTGGGCTGGACTGCTGGTGGTGTACATTCTTCTGAATCCTCCCTGATTCTTCCGTATGCTCTCTTAGACATTCACTTAAGTCTTCCCCAGGGGTTGGGAACTAACACAATGGTAGAAAAAGCACCAAGAAAAAGCGCTAAATACTAATGAGATTCTGAGTTCCCTAGCCACAGAGAAGCACCAGGTGTCATCATTTGCTGGGTTTAGCTGCCTCCTGGCTGCAGGTGGCTTTTGGCATCATTACCTTAGACTTGTCTCCAAGGCCCTTTTCAGTGGAGTCCCAGTGCCAAATATCCTATTGTAGAACTTCTGCTGCTTACCAGGGGCACCAGCATCTTAACCAAAACCTTTTTTCAATTCATCTGGAATAGTGATGGTGCTTTGTTTCACCTCTGCCCTCTGATTGAGCCCTGTCTCCTGACAGACAGGTGTGTCTCCACTTTCATTCTTCTGTGCACCACCCACTGACTGTGAGACCTACAGTGGACGCTGGCAGGGGATGAAGGACTGGCTCTGGGCGCTCTGCATTTGAATGCAGGTTATTACACACTACTTACTCAGAGCTCCTTTTCTAAGCCCTAGAAGGCAGAGCCAATTGCAGACAGTAAAAGTCTTGACCGCGAATACAAGGCACACTGAAAAGCTGCTTGTAAGACAGGAAATCTAGTGAAGAATGGGGGTTTTGAAGGAAATATCACGTCTAAGTTATGCAAATTAACTTTTGCAAGCTGGGCAACACATCGGGGAGTCACTCTTTGGCTCAGTGAGCAGGCTGAGGTTCTCTCCCACGTCTAAGCAGTGGAATGGGTGCAGTGTCTGGGTGTCCTTGGAGATGCCCCACTCCCCCGGGGGGAGGAATAGAGCAAGCTGTGGGACATAATCTGGCTGTTGCCATGCCTGATGCAGCCTGTACGTATTTTATCTGCCTTTCTGAGTTTTAATGGCAGTGTGAACTAGTTACCAACATTTGAGAAAATAACCATGAATACCTAGGATTCCTAGGTTTTCTTGAAACACTGGACGGTCCAGTAAAGGTGAGCTTATTCCATTTGTTTGGCTGCCACAGTCTCCACCACCCCCTCTCTTCTCACAGCTTGGGTTTCATGTCTGGCTGGTAGACGTTGTGATTTTTATCTATTCTTTTTCTCCAGCAAATGTGGAGAGAAGAACATCACAGGGTTTTCCTCAAGTGGCAGTGGCATCTCTAGTAGCTTTTTCTTGCCCCTGGTGGTGGGAGCAGCAGAAGCTGCTCCCCCTCCCCGTCCCCGGGAAGTTTGGGGGCCTGCAAAGTCAGGAGAGGTGACCTAGCCACCTGTGCAGGACATCTCAGAGAAAAGGGAGCCAGTTTTTCATGGGGCTTTCGTGAGGTTTGTTCCTCTTCCTTCTGCTCCAGATGTTTCAGCAAAAGAGTCAAAATTCTACTCGTTTCTTCCCATCTTAGAATGCACCCCAAAAGCCAGAACTAAAGTAAGTAGTACCAGCGGTGCTGTAGGAGAAAAAAGATGTAGATTTAGTTGTTTTTACTACGAATAGTATTGCTGGGAAGAGTCACATGATATTCACTGATTTGAAGGATTAATCTGGCATGTTGTTTGTGATTCTGAACACTTTTGTTAGAGGTGTTGGCCTCTTGTTGAAATACATGTTATATCTCATCTATACATGGAATCTAAAAAAGCTGAACTAATAGAAACAGAAGAGTGGTGGTCGCCAGGGGCTGGAAGGTGGGGGAGGAGGGAATGGGGAGAGTTGGTCAAAGGGTACCCACTTCCAGTTGTAAGATGCATGTGTTCTGGGGATCTAATATACAGCATTGGATTGATAGTTAACAGTACTACCCTTGAAATACATTCTTGCATCTTTGAAAGTTGTTCGGAGAGTAGATCTTAAACGTTCTCACCGTACGCACAAAAAACTGGAAATACTTGGTTGGCTTATTTAATCAGAGATACATCCTTATTTTTGAAAATTCTCAGACATCATCTCCTCAATTCCTCTCTCCTGTTGTCTCCATTTTCTGTCTAATGCTACCAGGTGTTGGAGCTTCTCATTCTAAACTACATGCTTTTTAAATTTTTCTCCCACAATTCCTACCTCTTTTTTTCCTCCACACTCCCCTCCTCCCGAAACTGTGTAATACGATATTTCTTCCAGTTTACCATTTTGTTCTTCAGTTGTTTAATTTGTATACTGAAGTTTCATTTTGGAATTTTGGTGACTGTATTTTTGATTTGTTCCTTTTTCCAACTTTGTTTTTCATACTATTTTTTCACAGGCTTCTGACTTTTCTCCGTCTAATAATATCCTCTTCTGGTTGTTGGTATTTATTCCGTCCTCTCCTGGAATGTTTTACATATCCTTGTTTTAAAGTACTTGAGATCATTCTGTTATTTCTGCCTCTTGAACGGTGCAGCCCTCAGTTTGCTGAACCTGCTGGCACCCCTTCAGGGTGCTTGTTTCGCCCGGGTCTCTCACTCCTCACAGACCCAGCTGTGCTGGCTGCCCTGCGGGGAGGGGAAGGGGGTTATGTTTGCTGCTGCCGGGATCTTCCCCTTGTCACTAGGACTAGTTTTCTTGTTCATTTCTCAGTTGGGGGTTCTTTCACCATAAAAGTAGCGAATTCTGACTTGTTTGGGCCTGGAGTTGCAATTTTTATGGGTGATTCATCTCTCCTTTGGCCCAGAGTGGATGTTCCCTCTTTCCCAGGCCAGTGGCTGGAATTTTCCTGTTTTTGATTTTTGTGAGAGGGCAACTCTTCATAACACTCTGCCTCCCTAGCCCAGTGCTTGTTCTTCCCCGACCCGAGGCTCTCATGTCCTTGTGAGAGTCCGGCCCGAGCCCTTGGCCCCTCGGGTCCTGACACATGGGGAGCGCGCCGCCAGAGCCCCTGCTCACCTTCCACCTCTCCTCTCCTTCCCTTCCATTTGTTGGATGGTTTTCTCTTCATTTCTGATGCCTGAGATTTCCTTGCTGGGCTTTGAGTTTTAACTACATACTAACATTTAAAAAAATGCTACTTTCTCTGGCAGTTCTATATGATTAGGGTACAAGAGGGGCTCTTTCCCAGTCAGCTCCATGATCCCACGGTATTGTCCCGAGGCGTTTAGATTGTTTCCTGGATTTGCCTAGATCTAGTGTCTTCAAATTGGGTTCACTTGTATGTACACCTGCTCCTCAGGTTGTTTAAGCATCTATATTTTGCTTTCCTGGTTCATAATCTTTAATAACCCCCTGTACATGTCCCTATGCTGGGGCCCTATGGCGTAGACACAGTGGGGAGGTGGTAGTGCTTCCTGGCATGAGACCCCCGAGTATCTAGATCTTCAGGTCACCCAGCTGTTCCAGAGGTGCAATTAAATTGGTCACAGGTGACATTGTATTCGGGTGATGATGGAGACATTCAACAGGGGCTGTTTTTCTCTAACTAGGTGACTCTAATTTGGCTGTAGTAAGTTTTTTGTATGAAGGCTTTTCTCTGGCAAACATTTTCTAGTTCCTACTAACTTAATAGTAACTCTTCACTGTAAAAATACATCTACAGTTGACCTTTGCAACAGCACACGTTTGAACTATGTAGGTGTACTTACATGCAGATTTTTTTCAATAAATATATGCAGTACTGTAAATGTATTTTTCTCTTTATGATTTTCTTAATGACACTTTCTTTTCTCTAGCTCTCTTTATTGTAGGAATATAGTATGTAATACGTATAGCATACAAAATATGTGTTAATCAACTGATTCCGTTATTGGTAAGGTTTTCAGTCAATGGTAGGCGCCTTAATACCTGCACGGGTCAGCTATGCTTATTGCTGTTTGCAGGGATGAAGGAGAAACGGAAAAAAAGCTGAGTTAATTTATCTGAGCTTTTCACAGTTTTTCTGGTTTTCACATTGAGCAGCTATTATTATTCTGCTGCTCTCCTCCCTTTCCTCAGCCAGCCTGATTAACCAGGACAGTCAGCACATACCTGAAGTCCGAAGTCATGGACTAGAATAACACAGAAGGGAGTAGCTGCTTAGAGGAAGAGAGAAGGGGAGCGAGAGTTTGTATATACTTCCTCCCGGGCCTGCCCATTGGTCACAGAACCCCGGATGGGGCCTCAGCTCAATTCCTTCTTCCAGACGGCAATGTAATTTCCATGCCCCTTCTCTTTATGGCAAAATGAGACAGGGATGAAAAGTTTGGGTGGCCCCAGGCACAGGTTTTAGGAATCTGACCTGTCCAAGCACAAAGAGTAGGTGAAGGTTTGGGGGTAGGAGGAGGGAGCGGAAGGAAGGAACGGCAAGCAGGCAAAGCCCCTAGTCGCTGTCCCTGTGTGCAGAGAAGTGAGGCCGCAGTGCAGTGGGGTTGACTCTGTCCAGAGCCAGCTTGTTGTTAGTGACTGGTGGATGGAGCAGACCCTGTAGGTCCCGGAGAGAATGGAGCAGCCTCCCAGACAGCCCAGAATTGCCTCTGGAGGTGGAGGGAAGCCTGCCCAGACCTGCCCTGGCAGCGGCTCCTTGGTGGCAGTTAGGCAGCATCCCCGAGCGGTTGCTAAGCCTGTTTCCCTTCCTGTGCAGGCTTTGTATTGGGGCAGAAAGCCTTCCCCCCAGGCCTCCCTGTTATTGTTTGTTTTTCATCTTCTGTTCTGAAAGAGAGGCTTCTGGTCCAGCCTGGCTTCCCTGCCCCCTCTTAGCCCGTTCTTGCCCTTACTCTCTGCACCGCAGTCCCAGTGGCCTTCCCCTGTCCTTAGGCTCTCCACACTCCCTCCTGCCTCAGGGCTCCTGCATGTACTCTTCTCTCTGGGCCCAAGGCTCTTCCCTTTCACCCTTTACCTGGTGACCCCATTTAAGAAACAATATAAGGCCTCTTGTCCTATTTCACTGGCTATATTTACATATGAAACTCCTACAACTATAACTTGGATCTGACTCCCTCCAGGAATAGGCCACTTGGGATCTCTACTCCATACTCAAGGTGAGATTGCGCAATATTTTGTTCACATCACTCATTAACCTACTATTAAGATGCAGCACTTCCCCCTTTCCAAACTTGCAGATACAATTTTCGATTTGGAGATGGTTGGTTTCTAAGTGCTATTTATTGCATCTAGGAGGGCAGAGAGTTTATTGTTGCACTATTGCTAAATGAATGAAGAAGTGGAAAGAACGTCTTCATTCTTGCCGCATTTAGCACTGGCTCGTGTGCCAGGACGTCCTGGTGCTCTCTGAGTGGCTTGCCGTGAAGGGGTGATGTGATCCTGTCTCATGGCAGCAGCCGAGTTGGAGAAACTGATTTCATAGAGTGACTGTGCTCATACTGCCTTCACTCGATGCTGCCCACCTTACTCAGCCTCCCCGCTACACTGCCGAGACCGCAGCACCTGAACCGCTGGTCCCTCGCATCAGGGCTCCTCCATCATGACTTCATCTGAGCCTAGTAGCCCACTCTCACCTCTACTTCCTCTCAGCCATTTCTCCTTTTCATTCACCTACCACGCTGTCTTGCCTGCAGTTGAGAGCTTGATGTTTGGAGAGTTGAGACTACGTCATTTCTCTTAGTTCTCCCCACTGTGCTGGTCCCAGGAGCACACAGTAGGTGCTGGGTAGATAATCAAGAGTACTTGGTGGTTTAAATTTAGCGACAGTGATGGAAAACTGACTTTTTTCTTCTTTCTCTCTAGTTACAAGTTATTCCCAAACTGTGTCCCATCCTTTGGGTTCCGCCACCTGCTGCCGCTCACAGACAGAGTTGACAGCTTCAATGAGGAAGTTCGGAAACAGAGGGTGTCCCGGAACCGCGATGCCCCCGAGGGGGGCTTTGATGCAATACTCCAGGCAGCTGTCTGCAAGGTAATTTTCCTCTCTGGTCCTGAGCCTGCATGGGAGGTCGAGGGAGAGAGTGTCAGGGTGGGCGTTTACATTGCCTGCAGGAGACCGCAGATTTTGAGCCATCCCAGCCTGTGGCCTGCCGTCCACTCTTACATCAGAGGGTGAGCTCAGTGGGCCCTTGAGGAAATGTACAGCAGTCAGATCAGCCTGAGCTTGGGGATGGATCTGGGCTGGTGTGTATCTCTGTGGCAGGGTGTGGTTCTGTGAGGCGGGATGCTGTCTGTGCCAGGAGACAGCTGTTCTGTAGCCATACAGTTGGCTTTTTTTTTTTTTTTTTTGCATCTGTTCAGGGGTAAAAAAAAATAAAGGTCAAGCCAAATGCATGGAAGCTTGTAGATCTTTCTGGCCCAGTTTTGGAAAATCTTCAATACTGTTCTGTTGGGGAATCCAGCTGAAAAGGAGAATTGCATGTCATCTTTGGTTGCATTTCTCTTTGTTTGTTTTTTTCTCCTGCTTCTCTGTGATATGTGAATCCAGGGGGAGGGTAGACACTTAGGTCAGAAATGAACTCATGCTCTAAGAGGTTCCAGTCTCAGCAAACTATATCATTGGAATGTTGGTAATAACTCATTCTTAAAATAATATTCTGCTGTCAAAACCCAATAACAACAACAAAACATAAAAATCATTCCTGAATTTGTTATCCCAATGCACATTTTGAAATTTTTCCATAGTGGTCATCATAAAGCGTATGTAACTGGCCATGCTTCCTTGAAACTTTAGGTGGGCTTGGCGGCAGGCCGGTGCTGGGGACGGTCATGCTCATGGAGGGCTGGGGAAGGCGGGGAGGACTCCGTTCGAGAGAGAATGCTTATAAGCAGCTGCTGTTCTTTAGTAGATGATAAGCACTAAATTGTCCGCTTACATGTTTCTGACGCTGGGGAGCCTGTGTTCCGTGTGTCTCACTCTCCCTCCACTCAGGCCTTGACAGAGTGATAAGAGAGCCACGGTTTCCGTAAGTTAAAAAATATTGAAATGGTAAATAGAGAAGGATAAGGGGAAGGGGAAAAGTGAAGAAAGCTCAGTTTCCTGCACTCCTCTTCTTGGGCCCACTGCCGGCCAACCTGGAGAGAAAGGTCTCCCAGTGGCCCCATACTCAGGGGGGCCACAGAGTGGCCCCTTCCCAGCTGCTGACCAGAACCAAATGGTGTGATTCAGAGGTCCCCGATGCTTTGCAGTGTCCAAGGAGGCCAGGAGGAACATAGTTAGAATGTGTTCAGCTCTTCACCTTTCAAGTGCAGTGTGTACATTTCTTCAGAAAGAAACATGGTATTTTGACTGGCATTCAGACATTGACAGACATTCTGCAAAATTCCACTTGTTGGCAGGGACGAATAGTGCAGAGAAAGCAGAGGATGCCCTCTCTCACCATCTTCAGGATTTTGTGGATTTTCTTTTTTGAGGGAAGAAATTACCTTTTAGCCTTAGGGGAAAGAACCCAGAGACAGACCTAAGCAATGTCCAGTTATATTAACTGTTTAATTACATTTGTTGGAATGGCATGATTTAAAGCACAGTGGTCTTTGAGAAGCCATTGGATTTACTCTTGTGCCTGCAGAACCTTCCTATGTTGCCCTAGGCCCATGAAAATATTCTTCCTTTTGAAAACTTAGTATTTCAAGATAGAGCATTTCAGAGGTTTCTTAAGCTCATTGCCTAAACTTCATGTATAAATTATTGTTGGCTGAGAGGCACTCCGTTGACATTTTCTTTTATTCCCCACCGTGACCTTTGCAGTAGGGAATACCTGGGAAGTTAATAATTGCTTGGAGCTGTGCAGTCTGTGAGCCACCAGCTTCTCCCTTCACCTTTTCTTTTCCCTTGTGCTGCCAGTTTATGTTTGGGTACACAATAAGCAATTTCTTTCTCACTTCAAATCCCCTGTTTATAACAAGTGTCATTCTTCCTGGTTCACCACAGCCTTACTTATTTTTAAGATTTTATTTATTTTTAGAGAGAGGGAAAGCGAGGGAGAAAGGGAGAGAAACATCGATGTGAGAGAGAACCATCAGTAGGTTGCTTCTCGCACACATGCCAGTGGGGGACCAGCCTGCAACCCAGGCATGTGCCCTGACTGGGAATTGAACCAGTGACCTTTTGCTTGGCAGGAAGAGCTCATCCAACTGAGCCACATCGGTCAGGGCAGTGTAGTCTTCATTTATGGCTGGTTCTTTTTTATGGTTTCCATGTACTTTTTTATGTTGTTGAGGTTCTCACTACGTTCATTGAGCATTCTTACAATCAGGTGTTTTTAACTCTGCATCTAGCAGATTGCTTGTTTCTATTTTGTTTAGTTCTTTTTCTGGAGTTTTGTTCTGTGCTTTCGTCTGGGCCATGTTTCTTTGTCTCCTCACTTTGGCAGCCTCCCTGCATTTGTTTCTGTGTATAAGGTAGAGCTGCTACGTCTCCCAGGCTTGGTAGAGTGGCCTAATGTAGTAGGTGTCTTTGAGGCCCAGGGATGGCACAGCTTCTCCATGCGCCTGAGCTGGGCACTCCAGGTGAGCCCCCTGTGTGGGCTGTACATACCCTCCTCTTGTAGTTGAGCCTTGGTTGCTGTTGGCATAGCGATGGGAGGGATTTACCCAGGCCAGTCAGCTGCAAGTGCTGACTGTGACCTCGGTGGAGGATCAGCCGTGCAGGGGCACACCCCACGGAGCAGAACTTCAGCAGGGTTCTGGTCCTTGTTGAGTCCACCCCTTGAGTGTGTTGCTTGTAGGGATGGTTGGGTGGTGCTTCAGTGTGGTCTGAAGCTGTCCCCCAGGTACGTATCTCTGGGGCCTCCTGGGAGGTGCATTCCAAGGTCAGCCACCTCCTGTGTTTTGCCCACAGCCACCGAGCATTAGCTACAAAGCGATATGCAGATGGCTGCTATTTGTGCTGGGCTTGGGGGTTCCAAGGAGAGGCCAAACTGCAAACCAAGGTGGCTGCCCCTACGGCTGAGCTTGGGCCACCTAGTGAGAGGTACAGGGCATGCCAATGCCAGATGCTGCTTGTTTGAGATTTTTCTGAAAGTTTGAAGCATGAGCTACAGCTTGGGTAGGTCTGCAAGCTGGGTGGGGCAGAGTCTCAGGCAGTCACCAGCTCGGGGCACACAGTTAGAGCCAAGTTGATGGAGTCTCAAACATGGCACCTGCCTGCTGGCTCTGTAGGGGAAGGGCTCAGGAAAGGAACAGTGGCCTCTGCTAGCACTTCTGTCTGGGAGAAAGCTGCCCTCCCAACCCCAGCTCTTACCCTGATGCCAGACAATTCAGTGTCTCCCCGTAAAGCCCTGGTACCTTTTGAGCTGCTGCCTCCAGGCTGGAGCTCAGGAGGAGTGAGTCTAAGAAGTCTGTGTACAGGCCCTTTAAGAACTGCCTAGGATTCCAGTCTCCATCTCCCTCAGCCTTAATCCCCACTGGTTTTTACACCCAGAAGTTGTGGGGACTTCTCTTCCCAGCTCTGGAACCCAGGGCTGGGGCGCCTGGTGTGGGGCTGGGACCCCTAGCTCCTCAGGGGGGACCTCTGCAGTTGAGATGTCCCTTCTGATTTCTATCCGCCATTCATGGGGTGGGACCAGCCCATTCTGCATCTCCACCTCTCCTACAAGTCTCTGTGTAGCTTCTTTATATCATTGGTTGCAGGACTTCTGTTCAGCTAGATTTCAGAAGGTTCTGAGTGATGGTGGTTCTGTAATTTAGTTGTAATTTCGATGTGATTGTGTGAGGAGGTGAGCACAGCATTTATCTTCACTGCCATCTTGATCCTGTGACCTACCTTTAGATGAATAACTGTGTAGCAGTCATACCTTCAAATAATATTTAAGGAATTGAATAATTCGTAAGATTAATTAAGAGGGGAGTTGAAAGTAAGTGATGAAACAGTACGAACAGTATGACTCTAGTTTGCAAACAAAAGACAAAAAAAATTGGAAATAAATAGACTGGGGTGATGATAGTTCTGTCCAGCGATAGGATTATCTGTGGTTTTTATTTTTTTATTTTGTGGTTTAAAAAATTTTGTACTTACCTAAAATTCCACAATGACTATGTGTGAGTTTTAAAAATTGTGAAACATTTCAAACATACGAAAGTAGAGAGAATAGTGAAATTAAACCCCATGTACCCATTGCTTATCTTTAACAAATACTAACTCGTGGCTAATCTTGTTTCATTTTGAAGCAAGTCTCAGGTATCGGTTTATTTCAATGAAATTTCAGTTTTTTTAAATTGAATTTATTGGGGTGACATCGGTTCACAAAACCATATGGGTTTCAAGTGGACAAGCCAGTAAAACAGCATCAGCACACTGCACCGTGTGCCCATTGCCCCGAGCTAAGCCTCTTTCTGTCCCCATTTTCACTTCTTTCTATTTTTTGAAAAATTGTATTTCTTTATTTTTAGGGAGACAGGAAGGGAGGGAGAAAGGGCAAAGAACATGGGTGTGCAAGAGAAGCACCCATTGGTTGCCTCTCGAACTGCCACTACTGGGGACTGGGCCCCCACTTCCAATTTTTAATGATGATTAGATTTCAGTGATAATTAGATTTTTTATTTCAGTGATATATTTTTAAAGTTGTTTTTTTTTTTTTGAAGTCCTAAGCATTTCTTACCTTGTTTACTGAATTGCCTGCCTCCTGATCTGCCCAGACAGAAAGTCCTTCCACTTAACCCTGCAAACCAACTGCGACCGGGCCAGCAGCCCCCAGCCTCTGCAGCTGGAGAGGAGCCGGCCACGGGCTGGCGCTGGCTGGGCGGGGACCCCTGCAGCAGCAGCACCGTCCAACTCTGACCCCGGAGCCCTTGGAGATGCGGCTGATAGCAGGGCTGGCTCACAGCCCACAGGGGTCTTTATTCTGGTTTCCTTCTCACCCTGGTTTCCCTGGGATGGACTGGCTGTTAGTTATCAACTGTGAGACACAGGGCGTGGAATGTTCACATGACTGACCTTTAATCCCACCTCCATGACTCTCTGTGTATTTCTCG